TGTGAGTGTGTGTGTGTGTGTGTGTGTGTGTGTGTGTGTGTCTGTGTGTGTGTGTGTATGTGTTTATGCACCCACATGCATAGATTCTGGGGCCCTGGAATTGAGTGTAGAGATTGAAAAACAACTTTTTAGAGTCTATGGGTTCTGAGGATTGAACCCAGGAACCCAGGCTTACTTGGCAAGCACCTTAAACTGCTGAGCCATCTCATTGCTCCAATTTCTATTCTAAAAGGCAGAAGAAAAAGTAAAAGAAACTTTGCCTTTCCCGAAAAGCTGACCTGGTTCAGAGCCTTGCCTTCCTGGTCACTACTGACCTGGGCTTAAGTTTTTCTACTAGAATCTTCTAGGTCACAGTTTCCTGTAACTGTAGCTTGATAAACAGTACCATTAAATAGTGGTTAGAAGGATTAAAAATGGCATGTATGATATCCTTGGCCCTGTAAACATGCAGTGGGAGTTACCAGCATTTACTGCAAGTGTTTACACTTTGGCTCCTTCTCAACCCAAACCCAAGTATTCAGATACATTTACAACATGTGTCCAAGAGGTGGATCATGAGGCCCATGATGCCCATGAACAGAGTGCAGAGAGGTGAAGTCCCCGCAGCTACCTTCTCCTTTTTACCTTCTCGGTCATTTTTCCAGTCCATGTCTCCCGCTCAGTTTCCACGGTGAGTGTTTCTCCTCTTGAAGTCAGAGCCCACATCCTCTCAGGGAGCAACAAAGGATAGGTTGCAAGTTGCTTTTAAAAATCTCTGCAGCCTGAGAAGGCAGGGAACAAAATAACCCCAGTGTGAAGAGAAGCTGAGTTCTTGGGGCCTCCTGTCCGGAAGAAAGAGTAAGAAGCAGGCAGGCAAGATGGAAGCTCTTTAGTCTCCGTGAAAGTGCTGTATGATTTGCAAGTCTGTGGGATACAGTAGTAAGAGATTAAGAAGGAGGAAGAAAAAAGAATACAGAGTTTTATTGCATATTACCCACTGATAAAAGTGGGTAGAAGAAGTAGGATGGATGGATAAAGTAAGTGGAATGGGTTTTTTTGTTTGTTTATTTAGGAGCTGGGAATTGACTTAGAGAATGAACCATGTGCTCTACCACTGAGCTATCTCCCAGCCTCAGTACAATTTTGTACCTTATGAGTGAATTAGATCCTCAAAAATATCTTCAAAGGTTTTGTATGATCGCCACAGTTTTAGCTAGAGTGTTAAAGGGAATCTAAGCTATCTGATCCTCCAACCTTCTCCTGTTAGTCACTGGAACCAATGAAAAGTTAGAGGACAGCGCTGCCAGCTTTCGCTGATAAGACCTCCCCCAACTCAGCATCACTTAGACGCTACACCACTCAGATGACAGATATCTCATCCTTCCAGGGAATTTCCAGGCACCTTGTCTCATTGCTGACAACTCGTTCAAAATCCACCCTCTGTGCAGTCCCGAATGGAGTTCAAGGGAGTCCGCACATTCAAGTTTCTGGTGTAATTGTACTCTGCAAGGTACGCTGTGTGCAGGGAGAAGACATCGCCAGGCCACACAGACAACATATATGCACATACATATACACACACAAGGTAGAATTCAATCCACATTTATTTAGTGAAATATTAAAACTATACACTGGAGTTAATATCTGACTTCTGGAGTAGATCCAAGTTCTTTCAACATAGCACTCCGTTTACCCCAAAGTAGAATCTGGTCACAGTGGTCATGTGACTGTGTACAAGAAAGTTTTTTTTGTTTTGTTTGCAGAAAGAAAATGTTTATTTCCTTTTATTTTATGTGTATGAGTGTTTGCCTGCATGCATGTATATGCACTACAAGCAAGCCTGGTGCCCACAGAAACCAGAAAGAGGCATCAGAGCCCCTGGAACTAGAGTTACAGATGACTGTGAACTGCCATGTGGGTCCTAGGAACTGAACCTGAGTTCTCTACAAGACCTAGCAAGTACTCTTAACACTGGGCCATCTCTCCCACCCCCTTTCTAGTCCTTTCAAACCTAACACATGTACATGATTAGCTAACAAAAACCAATACGAAGACTTACAGAGAGCAAGAACGTATCTTATATGTGGTGAAGAAGAACATTTTGTGCCAAGCCTTAAGTCCTCCTTTCTCTCCAACTCCGGAGAGTTGAGACCAGGAGAGCAGGAGACATGGAGGGGCCACCAAGGGGAAGGGGAATACAATGAGTGTTTGAAGTGTCCTGATCTGGCCTGCTTGCCCTTATAGAACAGGAAGGCAAGATGAGGCAGAACAGGTCTGTTGGTATGGACTAGAAAAAAAAAAAAAAAACACCAAACCGTCTCACGCTGGTGCCCACAGGTGCCCACTGTGGGGCTGCCTGTGGTACAGATGGCATCACATTTGGTACAGCTGTCTTTCAGAGGTTCATTGGTGGTAACCACTGCCCAGTGCTTCTGGGACAGGAAGCTTCCTTTTCCTAAGGACTTTGGTGCTTATTTACCTAACAGTGTGTCTCTGGTCATGAGGTTACACGGATATGGTTAGAGTCAAGAAGAACGTAAGACTCGGATGTAAATAAAACAGTGTGAAAAGTCACCCTGTCTTTACATGATGCAATTCTTCTGTGCAGAAACAGCTCAGAGGAACGTTCTGATTCAGCAGTTATATATATAATATATATAATATAAACCAACAGTTATATATTCTTAGATATTTTGTGAAATGGCAACAATAATATTGATATAATACATGCATGTAATTAGGGCTGGGAATGTGGCTCAGTAGTAGAATGCTTGCTAAATATGCCCAAGGTCCCAGATTCACTCCCCAGGACCACAAAAAGAAGTACATATAATTAATAGAATACAATTAATGCTGTATTAGCAAATATAATATTATTATGAAAATTAGGTAAGTCAATATACTAGAAGTTCTTAGGGTCAGTATCTGGCAGAGAGTGAAAATTTTGTCAGTCTTATTCTTAATATTATACTCATGTGTTCCTTACATATAATTCTGAAATATTCATATCGATAGTTCTTTGAAAAAGAATTTTTCCCAGAGACAAGGTCTCACTATGCGGCATAGGTGGTGAATTCTGGAATGGAAGATGTCCTTTTGTCTTACTTGTGGTACAGCAAGAACTACTAGAGATTTTCTACACTAAGATCATGCACATGCTTCTTTGACCAGAATTCTGATTGTTTCTTTCTATATTTTTTTCTATGATTACTTAGAATAAAGAATGGGATTGCATTCACTATAGTCCACATTTTCAATACTTTTCTAATGATAACCATTATTAGTCTACTAAGGAAATTTCTTGAGTGGGAATTTCTAAAGTCTTGTAATAAATGTTACTTAGTAAATTATGAACCTAACTGAAACTTGTATAAATCTGGTGTCTTTAGAACTTCTTTATGATACACCATTAGCGAAGTTAAGAAAATGAAGTCATGCATGACTGTCTGTCTCCAGTAAGCAGCAAGTGGGGCACAAGAAGACATTGGGCTGGGGAGGCCTTGCCACCTCCGGCCTCCTGAGATCCCTGGAGGACATTCTAGCCTTCAAATTCCTTTCGAAACACCTGCTGCAAATCCCTCACTTTGCATTGCTATTGGCCTTTCACATCTTTCCATATCATTGACCTCTCTAGTGAAGGATGTGACTTTTGACTAACCTTTGGCCTAGGTCAGCAGTTAAGCTGACCATTATCCCCAGGCTTTTTCATCTTTTGCCTTCCTAAGGACAATGCCAGTCGTGCATAACTTAATACTGATTTTGGCCAACTCAAGCCATTCATTCTTAGGTGATGAAATTCACAAGGCAGGTGCTATAAGGGGTATTCTTGGATGGTAATGATGGGAAGCTTTAAAGAGAAGCATTAGACTGAGCTTCTCAGAGGGGGGGAAACAGCCTGTGCAGCTTCATTTTAATGTCTTATCTCGCCCCCCCCCCCCCCCCCCAGGGGAAGCCAACCATATTCTTGACATGGATAGTCTTGGAATCATTTTCACATTTTAGAAGTTGCAGGGCTACGGTAAGGATTAAACATCAGAATCCATCCCTGTACTCAAGTGGATTTCAGCTTTTCAGAAAGAACAGGATATATACAGGTGTCCATAATACAAGGCAAAGGAAAAGAGGTTGTAAGTCAGATAAGGGAGGTGAGGAAGCAGTGAGTGGGTCGACTAGAACTCTGGGACGCTGTGTAAGAGTACCTAGCCAAGGGCTTGTTGGCTCAAGGCTGCAGTCCCAGCGCTGGGGAGGTGAGGAAGGAGGATGGCCAAGAGACTGAAGTCAGCCTGAGCTACAGAGTGAGTCCCCGTCTCAAAAAGGGTGAGGGGAAGGAATGGAGAGTAGAAGGGGGTTATATATTAAGACCAACCATGAAGGATTTAGTGTCTGAGAAATGATACAGAGGGAGAGGCAAGTGGAAGGAATGAGAGTGGAACAAACAACTGAAATCACAAGGCTAAAGGAAGATGCAGGAAAAATGGATCATGAAGTGAAGCCATTTTATTGGCCCATGTAACACGTGTAGGGTTTGTTACAATGTTATGAGGGGAAGCTATGATGGGGCCAAGTTTGCAGGTGCCCTAGCTCTTGCAATGTCTGTCTGTGTGGTAGATGATACACTGAGGGTTCAGGAGCATGGAAGCAATCTGACCACAGCTGTGATTTGAAGACAATTAGGAAGCCATATGAATCAGGTGTAGTGGCACCTGCCTGTAATTCCAGCATAAGCAAGGCTGACACAGAAGGATCATAAGTTCAAGACCACCGGGGTCTTATGTGGTAAAACTGTCTAAAAGGGGGGAAAAAGAAAAGGAAAGAGAGGGGGAAAGAAGAAAGCCTGCTGCTGTGAGGACATGGGGGGAGAGGAAAGAAATCAGTTGATGCTAATTTTTTCTCTAAACTAAGGACAATGAGTATGGAAAGGCTTTTCTTCCATGTCAGGAAAGTGACCATGAAAGTGGAGAGATGGGATAGATATGCTTAGTAAGTTTATGAAATTATACCTAAAAATAAAAGGACAATTATTTTCTTAAATAATTTATTTGTAATAAGTTAACAGTTAAATAGCAAAGTATTATCAATGGTTAAGAACTCACAAAATGCATCAACAGATAAAAATCTTTGGTTAACACAGCTACTCACATTCTACAGAGCAGGATAATTTCATATCACAAAAGAGCATATGAAGATCACTAAATGCTTTGGGGGAAAGGTTAACATAATGATAAGGCGCTTGTTCCTTTTCAATCTCAACACACAGTGACTGGTGAATGCTATGGACAGGCTAGAGAGAGGATCAGGAGACTGGCATCTGTGTCCTAGGTTTCCACTGATGGCCCATGAGACAGGCCTGTTTTCTTCTCTGTGAAATGGAGCAACACAGTCCATATAAAGCAAGGCCCTGCTTGAATATGGTTTCTACACATTTCCATTACTGTCCAAAGCAGACCAAATGCTCACTTTAGTTCAAGGAACAGACAGGCAGAATTAGAAAATTTGGCTTAACTCTTCTGTTAGACTCAAATGGTCCATAAACAGAAGTAGCACCCGCAGACAGCAACACATTTGAACTATGAAGTCTTATGACTAGGACCACCAAAGGAAACCGTAGAGGGAATTTTGAATTAGCTTCCATTCTCACACATATCCTCACTAGGTTTTGGACTACATGTGATTACAGTTCTTTTTTGTTTTGTTTTGTTTTGTGTGCTTGTTTGACAATCATGTTAATTTAATTCAACTTGATACAGGAAAATTAAAGCTGAACAAATATTGTAAGGAGTACATCACATAAAATAACATTGTAGAGGTTTATTCATCTATGAAAGGATTTCCTCTCGGGCTTCTTTAAGTATCTCCCCCCATTTACTGTAATGATGACTCAGCTTCTTTACATCTTTTTGGGGTCCCTGTAAGCATTTCAGTGGGAGGCCCCCAGCTGAGCACAGACAAGAGCTCCAACAATCAGGAAAGTGAGTATGTACTGTATAGAGCACAAAAATGTTGCATTTAGAGACAGAGGACCTCTCTGCTTTCTTCATATTCACAGAACCTATGTAAAAACAAAGTCACTGTCAGACATATTTTATTTAATGTACCAGATGAGAGGGTAGTGTTACTTAGTTGACATTTACCATAAAAACTTTGAAATGTCCCACTGCCTGGCAATTTGGGGACAACCTTGAACTTCCCCAAAATGGTGAGAATGGTATACACATCTCGGGTGGAAGGAAGGACTTGGCCAGCCTCCGTGCTTACCAGTCTCCAAAAGCTATGCTGTTTCTGTGGGGAAATTGATCTAGTGGGGATTAAATAAAGGACTTAGAGGGAAACCCGTTGTCCTACAAGTGTGTCGGCTAAAACGACCTTAATGATGCAGTTACTCTAATACTTTCTAGAGAGACAAGAAGTTTAAAGTCCTATATTGTATAGACACTGGAAATTCATAACCACAATACATAGATTTCCCACCTGTGATTTAGAAGATCATAAAAGCCAAAAGAACTCTGGGGAAATAAAATGTCCCAGAGATAGACATCTGCATTTGGGGCTCAGCTACCAGATTTATCTTTGAATCCAAGTACCGTGAGGCCCAGAATGGTGTGTGGTGATGACTGGAGCATCCACAGGGCTCCACCCGTGCCTCCAGCTTAAGACCCAGCTGATGGTCCCTGGGAGGCAGGAAGTGAAGCTAAATGCACGAGGTCATTAGCTTCTGCTCCTTTATTTCTATTGTTTGCTCTCAACAAAATAGAAAATGGCAATATTTGGGTTTTCATAATTATCGAATTGTACAGGACTTAAGTTGGAAGGAATGTGGGCTGAATTAAATGTTTTAGTACCCAATGTGTCAATCTAAGTGGTCTGCTCACTCATTTTAGCTAACTTTTAATAAGAAAACTATGAAGTCTAGCTTCTAAATTACCAAGGTTTTTCCTGGAATGAATGCAATCCACTATTTGGTTTCAGAGGTTCAACTAAAGTAGAAGATCATGATTCTATAGAGGTCGAAGGATATGGAGACTTTCACACACATAATCCTCACTGCTCTGCTCTGAAGGGACATCCCTCCAGAGATGACTCCCACACCTCTCTTGTGTTCCTTTCCACCGTGGCTACCTTTTCATTCATCAATCTTAAGATTTCTTGTATTTACCCTCAATAGACATGTCTCCTTTTTCAACGCAAACTTTTAAATATATTCAGAGGGCAACAAGCTTTGCTCATTCATCAGACATCCAATAGAAGGAAATCGTCATTACTGAAGTCATGAGTGAGATGGCAGCTTTAAAAAGATGGTTGTTTTGTTTTTTTGCAATGGTCTCGTGCAAACTTATAGAACAAGTCATTCTGCCTGAAGTTCTGAGGTAATGAGGTCAGAGCAACATTCCTCAAGTCCTTTTGCAGATCTCAGCTTCTGTCCCAATCACCTCCTGCGTCATACCTCTCCGCAGCATGAAACCACAGGACTCTGCAACCAGTACTGCCCTGGGGGCTGGCCGGCACAGCCACCCTAGGGAGCCTCATGGCTTGGGCCAGGGTCATTGAGTAGAGTTCTTTCATCCACATCTGGCAGGTGGGGCCCTTGGGGAAAGAGCCCCAGAATGTTCCCCTGAGCAGCTACTCCTGTTTGCTGTAGGCTTTGCTCTCCCAAGACCTTGACCAAGAAGTTGATGTATCTCATTGCCAAGCGAAGCGTTTCATTTTTGCTCAGCTTCTTGTCTGGAGGGTGAGTGGGGATGAGTTTCCTCAGCTTGGCGAAGGCACTGTTGACGCTCTGCTGCCTCCAGCGCTCCCTGGTGTTTGTGAAGATCTTTCTGGTCATGTCCAGGTTCCTGAGATGGGAGAGAAAAGGGAATTTGGTGACCAACACATTGCAAGAGGCCCAGTGACTATCACATGTTCTTCCAAGAACCTGCAGTGGTAGAGCTTCTTAACTCAGACGTCAGGAAATCCATTTCCAGTGTTTAAGAAAAAAGATGGCAGAGGAAAGGGCAAAAAGAAGAACCCTTTTTTTTCCCATGATTATTTTGAAGTCACCATTACAAAACTGTATTTAGTCCCTCCCTTGCTCTCCCCCAACACACCCACACTTTTGACGCTGGATCTCATGTATTCGAGGCTTCCATCAAACTTACTATGCAGCCAAGGACAACCTTGAACTTCTGATCCTCTTACTTCACCTCCTGAATGCTAGGATTACAGGCAAGTGCCACCATTTTTGGTTTATGCATGCTAGGGATTTTTGAACCCAGGGCCTCATGTTTGCCATGCCCACTGACTAAGCGACATCTCCAACCCCACTACTTCCTTTATAACCCGTCCCTCCCAGCTGATCAAAGTCATCTACAATGTGGAATTGAGTACACATTTATCCCAGGAAGTGTTGGGTGTGAACGTGCAGTGTGTCAAAAGCTTTTAAAACGAGAGAAAGGCTGCACTCCAGGGTCTCCTCAATAAAATGACACTTGGAATGGAGAAAATGGCACAGCTCTCCTTGTTTTAGCTGACCTTAGCTGGAGGGTTGTGCTCCAATCTCCAGTAGCTAGAATGTTCACACAGGAGCACATTTGGAAGACTGTGAGCAGGGGGAGAAAGGGGGAGAAAGTGATATCCAGATTTATGAAAACAGACATGGAGGTGTTCAGCCTGGTAAGAATGAAAAGATCGCCGGGCGGTGGTGGCGCACGCCTTTAATCCCAGCACTCGGGAGGCAGAGCCAGGCGGATCTCTGTGAGTTCGAGGCCAGCCTGGGCTACCAAGTGAGCACCAGGAAAGGCACAAAGCTACGCAGAGAAACCCTGTCTCGAAAAAAAAACCAAAAAAAAAAAAAAAAAGAATGAAAAGATCATCGGCGGGTGCCCTGTGGCATGGATCTACAGCAGGCACCCAGGCTTCTTAGCACTCCCATAGCTCACCTTTTCCACATTAGGAAAGGTATCATCAAATACCGCCAGATCTCATTTTGACATCTTTAACTCCTGGAGGCATGCACCCCCTTTTTCCCCAGGTGGCCTGGATTAGTGCATTTTATTGGGAACATTCAGGATGCACTGGCAATAAGCGAAAGCCCCGCCCTAGGCAGCCTGGTGTTGCAGCCCACTGCTGTCACTTGCAGCATGCTCCAGCCTCAGCTTCCCAGGGCACTTAGTGCCTTCTGCTGTTCCAAAGAGTCACGCCTATTGCTAACTCTACCTTTTCCTCATGCCCTTTCCTTTTTCTTGAATCCCCTTCACACATTCTCTCCCTCTATTTTTCCACATTCCTTAAAGAGCTGCTCTAACTGGGCCTGGCAATGCAGGCCTGCATTCCTTGCTACTTAGGAGGCCGAGGCAAGAAGACTCCAAGTTCAAGGCCTCCTTGAGCTACCAAATGAGTTTGGGCCCCTGGGCAAGAGCACCTACCTAGCATGCATGAAGGAGGCCCAGGGTTCAATGTCTAGCACTGAGGGAGGGATCAGCTCTACCCAGCCTCCTCCTAACCCTGACTATATGAGTCTTCATCACATAGCATGATACTCTCTGGAGACCCTGGGATCAACTGCAGCTCCCTGTCAGCCACACCATCACTGGAGTAAGCTGGAGGGCATAGTACTATGCTGCCAGTGTTTTGTGGATCGAGGTATTCAATAAACTGTATGTGACATTTCCTACTTTCTTATAAAATAGACTTTGCATTGGCAATTGTGCCCATTGTAGGTGAATGTGAGTGTTCTGGGCACGTTTAAGGCATGCTGGTCTAAGTTAATGATTTTCTATAGGTTAGGTATGTCAAATACAATTTCAATGTGTATTTTCAACCTATGGCAGACTCTTGAGGAGGGTTCAGAACTACATCCTGAGTCAGGGCATGGCTTTCTTGTACTGCTGCTGGACCCTCAGGAGCAAGTTGCCTTTTGTTTACCTGAGGGAGGAAAATAGATTCTATAGAAGCAGAGAAACAACACACCTACATGCTAGAGCAAGCTTCCAAGAAGACCACACCTCCCTGTAAACAGAAGGGTGGACCAGGTCTCTTCCTGTTTAGAAATGTACACTGCCCCACTCTTGTCTCTAGCCCTAGTCATTTCTGAATCTTTTGGTCTTTGGTCCTACAATAAAAGCATGTTGCCAGAATTTTACCCCAACTATACCTGAAACAGAGAACTATACCTGAACCCAGATCAAGGGGACTTGAAGACAGAAAGAAAACTATTAGATTTTGTTCACACTGAAGCTGGCCAGGGCTGAAGGACAAAGTTGTCTCATCAAAGGAGGGTTTAGCTCACTGCCAAGTCAACTCTAGTCCCGTGGGGGGTGGGGATCCTTTTCAAGCTGGAAGCAAAGAAGATTAGGCAGGGTAAACTGATTGTGGTGTTGTTCTAAGACGGCTGGAGTCTATTGTACTAGACAGACCCAAGGGTCAGTTAAGGAAGAAAGAAAAGAAAAAAGGAAGGAAGGAGAGGGGAGGGGAGGGGAGGGAAGGGAAGGGAAGGGAAGGGAAGGGAAGGGAAGGAAAAAAAAAAAACTCTTCTAAAATGTAGCCTGCTGCCTGAGGGATGCTTGGTAATTACTTGCTGATTTAGCCTTGAGTGTTTTACTCTCCTTCTCCATGGGGGAAATAGAAATCAGTAACTTAACAAACTGGAAAAGCTCAAAATAGAGGCCACTAGAAAATCGCTGCACTGTACTTCTTAAATCAAAGGAAAATTGCATTTAGTGTTTTTCCAGTTGCAAGGACTGATTGCCACTAATCTTGATTTCAGAGCAAAATAAGAGGGAAAATTCCACACCAGATGCCACGGATAGACGTTGAAATAAGGGCAAAGCATCAGTGTCACGACTGAGGACTCCCACTAGGTTAGGGCTCATTAACATCTTCTTTTTCTGTTTTGTACCATGAATCTTTTTGGTGGTCAAGGGAAGCCTGGGTTTGCAATCTACTCAGAACAATGATTTTAAATATATAATGGTTCCTATGTCAAAATTTTAAATGCATAAGTTAAAATACAGCGACACAGAAAATAATGTTATACTTAGTAGTTATTAAAATGCTAAAATTAAAAATGCAATATGGTAATGCATTTGCTTAATTTTTAACACATTAAAAACTACACATATTACCATAATTTCTAAGAAATGATACTTGGCTTTTTTTTTCAAAATATCTACAACATTTGGGATGTGAGATACAAGTCTCTAAAACTTCCACTGGTGACAAATTCACAACTGTTGTCTTGTCTTAGGATAAATCTTTGCTACTACATTGTATTTGAAATCACAGTATCTGAGCAGCTACTAAATATTATTGGATTTTTTCTGTGTCTATGTTTTTAATGCATTTAAAATAATTATTCTGAGAAGGGAATAAAAAAAATGGTTGATATTAATGCACCTTACACCTAAAGGAAATGTTACATTAGGATAAATGTTAATAGAAAATAAAGATGTAATATCTCCCTATTCAAGTTCATAGTACTTTTGAATTCTAGCCACACACACCTGGGTAGGTAGGGGTTATAAACTCAAGAATGAGTTGTAAGGGCTGGAGAGATGGCTCCATGGTTACAAGCGCTGGCTGTTCATCCAGAGGACCTGGGTTCAATTTCCACTACCCATATGACAGTTCATAATTGTTTGTAACTCAAGTTCCAGAGGACCCAACCCCTTCTTCTGGGCACCGGGCATGCAAGTTGTACCCATATACATACCCGTACATACAAAAAAATTTTCTAAGTTCAAGGCCTGCCTGGACAACTTCTCTCACTAGGGCATGGATGCTATAGAAAGCTCCTGGACAAATGTCATGTTAAATACACCGTGAATATAGAGTGTACAACCTCTTTATATTGTCACCAGTGAAGGTAGCACATTACTGAAGAAAATGACTTACGCTCCTAGAGAAGGTGTCCGCTGTTGCTAATAGCCGATGATGCTCTTAGGTGCCCACAGCTCCTGGACACAAACCCCAGGTCAGCTAGAAAGGCACAAAAGGTCTCAGCAACTCACACTGCTACAGGGTTAGCCTCAGGCTTGCAGGCTCATACAGGTCTTTTGTTCTTAAGGTTTCTCTCCTGCAACTCAATCCTGTGTGTTTGTCTCTTCCTACAACCAACTCTTGGAAGTGCAGATGCCCCCTAAGAAGGAAGGCGAACAGCCCTTTGAATAACTAGATTAGGGATGGTCTAATAACAGCCAACACTAGGTACAGTTCTGCTCCGTTAATAAAAAAGTACCAAGCAAAACTTTACAGGGGAAGCCACAAGGTCGGGGGTGGGGATATAAGGGCAGCAGGCGGTGTGGGTCGAGGGAAGGAAATGACTACAACAGTTTATTTGAAAATGTTACAATAATATCGAACACCTTTTATGTTGATTTTTAGAAAGTTATTCTATACCAGTTCGAAAAAATTAAAAAGTAAACGGTACGAGGAAAGTTTCTTACATATCTATTTAACCCATCCCATTCCCCAGCCATTGCGAGTTTGAGGTGTACACTTTACGCTCACTCATACATGCACATACACTCACATATTAGCACTCACTATGCATACTATCACGCAAGTTGTTTCTCTTAAGCAACCCCACGCTTTGCTTTGAGTCAGCAGAGCACACTGGATACCGCTCTGTCGGGGAGCAGACTAAGGCGGTCCCCTTCAACCATTTTCATGGGCTATCCATGCTGAGGCGCACTTTACACTGGGGGCCTCGCAGCCTGCACGCACTTGACTTCTCTTCTCTTTTTGTTCAATCTGCAACTTGTCTGTGAACCTTCTTCATTCCCCAGCTATCCCTTCCCGATTCTTTAAGAAAAATAAGTTATTATCTCATCGTAGCAAACCCGCCCGTTATTTCGGGAATCTGGGAAAGCGTATAGGGGTTGAAATTTCACATCTGCAAAGTGTCGGAAGATCGCTAAGAGAGATCTGGCGGCGGTATAAAGAAGCCTGGAGATGCTCTGGGGTGGAGGGGACTGTCTCTGCGTTCCAGCTAAAGCGGCTTGGACAACACGCGCGCCTTAGGAGGCCAGACCCTCTCCCCGAGTGCCGCGCCACTGCCACTGACCCTCTTAAAATTCCCGGGTCACCCAAAGAGTCCCCTCAGTGGCTGCTACCGAGTGGCCACATCTCTCTCCGTTCTCTGTGGCCTGCTCGGTGGCCCCTTTGCTCCTAACACTCCCACTCCCTTAAGTCAACGCACCTTCTTGCGGGGAGCTGGGAGCCCGCGCTGTCGCAGCGGCTGTGGCTGTCCGTGTGCGCCCTCGCCTGGACGCTGAGCCTCGGCTGCAGCCTTTATAGGGCACCGCCCTTTGTCTGACGACAGGAGGGGGGCTTTCTGCCGAGGACTCCCTCCAGTCCCTCCCCGTTTTGCCCCATCATCCCTCCCATGTGCAGCAGCCAAGGAGCAATGGAGGAAGAGGGCCCCTCCTTTGTCTAAGGCTTTCGGGGAGGGGGTGCTGTTCCAACCTCCTCCTCCTACGGACAAGCATCTGAAAGCTTCGAGCTCTTACTGACTCACCGGGTGCTTCTTCAAATCCCAGCCCAGGTGCAGGCTGATCCCAATGCCCAGCTCCAGACCCTCTACATGAGTTTGGGGGATGCAGCCTGTGACCTACAATTTCACCAAGTGCCCCCAGGAAATGAAGGCACACAACAAAGTTTAAAAGCACCACACTGAACAGATTGATGGATTTATTATGGGTCCCATCTAGTTTTTCCTGTCAGTCAACACAGGGTGTGGTTATTTCAGGGATGGAGGGACTCTACTCTTGCCTCCTTCCTCCGTCCTGTATCTCCCAGGATGATCTGAGAAAACACAAGTCAGACCTCTGTCACTTCTGAGATCTAAACTCTCTGGTGGCTTTCCATTTCATTCAAAGTTAAGCATTAATCCATGCGGTGGCACATGTCTGCAATCCCAAGGCAAAGGGATGGGACATTTGAGGCCATCCTGGTCTATGTAGTGAGAGAGACGTTGTCAACAGACTAAAACAACAGAAGGAATGTGAGCTGCAGGCTTTAACTGGCCTCTGAGATCTCTACCTCTGGCCCCTGAGATCTCCATCTCTGGCCCCTGAGATCCCTATCTCTTTCATCAGCCTGTCCCTTCCTTCCCTGGGTTTCATTCTTCTCCAGAGACTCAGATTTGTCTTTCCAGGAACACACCAGACACCCTCCTGCCTCCTAGCCTCTGCCTAAAACGTGCTTCTCACAGGCTGTCCTTAGGAGTCCTTCCCTTCCCTTCCTTTACTGTGTGTGCATCAGGTCAGTACTTGAAGCTTATGCCCTCCCTGCTCAGGCCCTGTGTGGGTGTGGAGAGTATAACACCACACAAAACCAGACACAAACCCCTGCCCTCAAGGGACTGACATTCTTTACTATTTACTCAGATGCCACCTTCCTGGTGAAAAGCTTTACATTTTAAAATTATATTTCTGCATTTATTGCCTTGGGTGCACCAAGGTGAATGTGGGAGGTCAGAGAACAGCTTGAGGGAGGCAGTTCTTTCCTTCAGCTCTGTGGGTTCCAGGGATCGAATTCAGGACTTCAGATTTGGCAGCAAGTGTCTTTCCCCACTGAGCCCTCTCATTAGCCCATCACCTAAAAGCTTTTTAGCATACTAATATTGTGTGTGTGTGTGTGTACGCGCGCGCGCGCACGCACACACACACACACACACACACACACACACACACACACACTCACCAGAGCACAGGCACAGGCACCACACACTTCATCCTTTGTCTGCTGTATTCTCAGCGCTTCACCACACTTAGTAATATTTACTATTTATCATGTCTTACATCTCTTCTATATCCCTCATTACCACATTGAATAGATGTCCATCATTAGTGTATGCTTAAAAAATCAATCTCTAGGTATTTCTCTCTCTGAAGGTCCAAAGATTTGAGACAATAAATTCATAAATGCATTGCACCTTGGTGAATAAGAGCAAATGACTCTGAGGTTGTATTCACCCAGGTTGACATTTCTTGTCTATTCATTTGTAGGATGCCAGGCAAATTCCTAACCTTCTCTCTGCTTCAGTTACCTTATTTGTAAAATGGCTTCAATGCTGGAACTGTCGGAATCAAATTAGAAGGAAAAACAGGTAAGGTATTTAGGATCACAAGCAGCACATAGCATAGTATTAATAGATTTTTGTTGTAGTTGATTATATTATTGTTACAACGGCATTCTAGTTCCCTTCTCTGTGAGAAGATTATATAAACCCTTCCACTGTCTGTGAAGGGGCTCCAAAATAGCTTGACCACACAGCAGCCATGACAGGCTTAGGGGCCTAGACACAGCTTCTGTGACAGGTTTACTGGCAGGCAACACCCAGATCCAGAAAAAGTCTTAAGGTGATACCACCCAAGGATCTACCCAGGGATGAGGAAGTACCTGACATCCCAAACATTCCAACCATTAGATAAGGTGGCCAGATGTCTTTGAGTCTAGCACACACCTATTTATTTTATTTATTTGTTGTTGTTGTTTTACAAATAACCCCAAGCTCTGCTATGATAAAAAGCTCTGCCCCACCTGAGCTCGGGGCTCTCTGCTCTCTCCGCTGTGTCAGACAGAAGCACCAAACTCCTGAGCTTGAAATAAAGGCTCTTTGCTTTTACATGCAGGATTCGCTCTCCGTGGTGGTCTTTTGGGGGCCCCGAGATCTGGGCATAACACTGTCATGTGACCAGTAGCTCTGCATAGGTGGAAAGAATACACTTCTCTTCTCAGTGCCAGGCTGGGTCATGTGCCTTGCATCGGCCAATGGAATCTGAGCAGATATGACACAGACCATGGAGCACGAGCTCTAGCGAGATAACTGCGGGCTGAGGCAGCAGCGAGAAAGTCATGCTTGAGGATGCTCCTGCAGCCTGGGTACCATGGAGCAAACCCCAAACCACCCATAGCCATAACGCAAGAGGAGATTTCACTGCTGTGAGGCACTGAGACCTCAGGCTGCTTGTCACACCTACGACTCCTTGCCCTACACCCATGTAAACTCATAATTTTATTACAAATGGAGAAGATACTGTCTGGATTACAAAGCTCAGGTATGTGGGCAGAGCCAGAAAGGTGAAGGGGACATGACAGACTGAACACAAGACTGACAGTCCTCAGGAGCAGAGAAGGTAAACTCTAGTTAGGATAGGAGGTCAAAGATTCTGGCTGGATAACCAGGCATTATGTGTGGGAGGGATGGTATTTAGACAAGGCCTTGAAGCAAGGCTCCCACTGGGAACTGAGGACCTTAAAGGAACAAATGGAGACTCATAATTCCTTCCTCTCTATTTTTTCCTACCCACAGCTTCATTTATTTCAGTCAAGAGCCCTGTGTATTAGGTGGACTCCCGATCCCCAGACTTGAAAAGAGCCCCGAACCAACACTGAAAATGAGCTTGGTGCCTATTGTAAAGCAATTCAGGGCTCCCAAATGTCCAGGGTGTTGTCTAGAAGGTGGAGCATGGGTACAGTGTAGGCAGGGGAGGACATCAGGAGCAGGGCTTCTAAAGTACAATACCCAGGACAGGGCCCTGGGTGCCTGGAATTTGGTGGGGAGGGTAGAGACAGGAAGACAGCAGTGAGCTGCAAAGATGGGAACCGTAACTTCAGCTGGGACTCCAAGACTCATTCTGGCTGTAGTTTGAGGACACAGTGGAGAGAAGAATAAGATGAGCTGGCCAAGTAGTGCCCAGAAACACAACCTAACATTTGCAGAAAACACCTGTGGCCTGCTCCTCTTTCTGTCCCCTGCTCTTTCAGTGTGCTGTGGGAGAGAAAATGTTCCTAGGGTGTCCATGCTTTTCCCACTCTGTCTGATTATGTTACAGTTCTGACAGGCCACACCAAAGCTCATGATCCTTCACCTTAGCCAACATCTGTGAGGTGATGTATTTCCCCAATGGCACGTTTTTCATTTGTAAAGAGAATTATGGCATCTGGATGGCAGGATCCAGTGGATGATGCTAAGTGTAACGAGCTGTAAAATAAAATCTGTGCAAGTGGACAGGCGCTCAGACAAAGCACAAAGACTCGGAGCATAAGTATGTTAGTATACTGGAAGAGGGTTGGCTTTTGTTCTTGAATCTTCTTAAATGTTACTGTTGGCTTTATGCTTTTGGAAGCCATTTGGGTACATCGGTTCCCTAGCAGTGGCTCTTCAGAGTGATGGGTCTGCTCCCATCCCATTCTCCCAGTGTAGAGCATTTAGAGGCTAGGTCCTGCAGTGGAAGAGGTTGGAGTAGGAATTTACATAATCCGATTACTGGGGGATTAAGTTTAGGCAGCTAAAAGCCTCTATGTGCTTGAGCTAAAAGGCTTACTATTCATGGCTCTCGCTGCCCCCTGGAGAGATGGCACCTGCAGAGCTCCTGGGGAAAGCCTGGGGGATGAGCTGGTCCCTAGGAGAGCCTGGTGTTGTCCAGCTCCCTGGTCCTGCTGCTTTAATTGATCTGCCTGGAGAAGCCTGTGTATACTGGCCTTCTAGTCCCCTATGCAGGGTTGTCAGGTTCAGGAAAAATGAGGAGTCCTTGGAGGTTCTGCCAGAACAGGTGGGTATGGGTGACCAAAGTCATTTTGACTAGAGGTTAAGCATCAACCTTAACCAGTGTTAACCTTTCCTACCCATCCCCCCATGCTAAACCCCTCTCTCAATCCTCAATTCATAGTTTCCAGGCATCAGCATCATACTTCTCTGCAGCCAGTCAGTTATTCATCCCTGTTCCCAACCACACAGTGTGCATGTGTTTAGTTGTCATATGAATTAGCTGGTTCTTGATATGTAACAGAACTTGCAAGCATATCCCGCTAGGCAGATATTTTTCTTTACATATTCTAGCTCTTAAGTTTTGGCAGTTGGCCATATAAATTTTGACTCAAGATTCATCAATAGGGTTAAGTTTTTATTTTATTTCAATTTTAGGGACAAGGTCTTGCTATGATGCCCATGCTGGCCTGGAACAGATGCCTCTGCCTCTGTCGTAGATGTGTGCAATGACATCGGGCTGCTATTAGCCTCTAAAGTCTGTTTTTTTTTTTCCTTTTTAGAAAGTGTTTTTTTAAAGCTTCATTGTATTATTATTACTCCTATTGGCCATGGCTTGCTATTAGTTTCTAATGTTATTGTGATGTTCTCAAAAATGTACAGTCTTTTTTTTTTTTTGCTCTGAAATAGTTTTTTGAAACTTTTCTTTTTAGAACAACATATAACCATTTTTTTTTTAATGTTTCTTAGTCACTATAAGAGGAGAC